CTTGAGAGATTGTTGATAAATATTTCTGTCGCAAATAGAGGAGCTTCTCCAATGCAGTCCGCATGAGGTCCACTATATTTCCTCTCACCATTAACCTGAACAAGATTAATATTACATCTTTTCATCCACTCCAGAAGAGAAGATTTATTGTCTTTATGCAGAGAATTAATCCAAGCCTCGCTCTCAGCGTTCATCACGCTGTTGTCCATCATTAACTGTTCTTGCATTGCAAGACCACTTACTGTTATCTCACATATATATTCTTATTATTATAGCCAAATTTACCACCCTAACTCCTCCCACAGTTTTTACACTACATAGACAGTAATATACCGAAACGTGCGGATTGTTCCCGATTGGTGTGCTATTACTTTGTGGAACGTTTCACCAAATGGTTCACGAAACATCAGCGTTTTTGTGTGTGAAATTGGTCCCATAGGAATGAATGGCGGAATGTTCAAAACTAGAGTGGGAGCTGACAAAAGCTAGAGTGTGAGCTGAAAAATCAGGACGTGATTTTCTAAACTGCCATCACTCCCTCATTTTCAAGCCAACCTACACAAATCTTATATCAAAACGTTCAGCTATCCCTGCTGCCACTAAAAATGTCCACTGCTAAGCCATAGTCCTAATAGTTTTCACAATATGACCATTTGTTTGCAACTCACACAGCCCATTGACATTGTAGACTACTGCTGGAGGCAAGAACACTTCACAGAATTTCCCCAGAAATTGTAGCTTTTCTAGTTATAGAGTGACCTGCTCTCTCCATGGGCCATATTAATAGTTAGAGGGCTAGCCTCTAGTCCCCTCAAAAAGCCCCTGTCCCGTTGGGTCAGTCACAGTGCCCATATCAAACAAGTGACCTCCTGTGTTCAATAATCAGCAGGGCAGGCATTCTGAACAGGACCAGGAAGCTAGCGGAGATCACTGCAGTAGTGGTGTCTACTACAATTATATCCACCTTCCACAGGGATCCCACAGGTATGGCCAGGGCTGCTGTTAGAAACCATGGGGCCCCATACAGCCAACCTGACAGCCCCCCCTCCCAAAAAAAAAAAAACACAGTTTACTAGGCTACGGTTATGAATGAACACAGTAAGTGATCGGTACCAATCACTCCTATTCATTCAGGAAAGGAAGGGGCTGGTTAATTTGACATTTTTACCTCGTCCTTTCCCCACTCTCCATCCTTAAGGATCCTATTGTGTACTTGCAGCCGCCAATGGGAAGGAGAGGATGGAAACTGGCAGCACTGTGGGGGCAGGGGCACACAGGAGGTCTGGACAGAAGGGGATTTGCCCCCCCCCCACCGTCAATCACCTTCCATGCTTACATCCTATTTACCCAGCTGCCTCGGCCCCCCTGCTGACCTGGGCCCCGTACAGGAGGACAGGTGGTACCCTCTTATCCACGGCCCTGGGTATGGCACATACATACTTACATTGGTCTAATAGCTAAACTTCAGGTTTAGGCCCCTTTCACATGGGCAGACTGATTGGATCTATTTGTCCATTTTTCGGTCGGACCCGATCGTATCATCCATTGCCCTTTATGGAGCGGCGGATGTAAATGGATATGTGTCTGTTTACATCTGCCTGCAGGCAATCCGATAAAAACAGATAGATGAAGATCAGTTCCTCATCTGTCTAGCAGATTAGATGACAGTTGGATGTAAATGGACAGGCGGTCTGTTTACATCCAATAGCCCATAGAGGAAAGTTAGCTGTGTCTGTGTCCACTCTGCAGAAGCGGAGCGGACACGGACCTGTCATCCGCCTGCTCAGTGGGGAGCAATGGACAGATCCCCCGTTGAGCAGGCGGATCCCCCTGTGGAGTCCCTTGTGAAAGGACCAGGGGAGGACTGACCATTTGGAAACTCGGGCACTGCCCAAGGGCCCGTGGTCAGTAGGGGGCCCCATGAGATGCCCCTGGTACCTCTTTCATAGGCTTTTTTGAGTTTGGGCAAGGACACAGGGGCCCCATGATCCCCTATTGCTCGGGGCCCTATGAGTTGTCAGTACGCCCCTGGAAAGGACCCTTAAGCTTATAGTAAAACTACAGCCAAACAAACAAGGATAAAATGCAGGTCTGTGAGCTGTTTTATCTAATAGAATTTAGCTGCATTTGGTATTCATACACCTCTGCCAGGCAACACAGCCAGAAGGGTGACACCCCTCTGAGCTCTCTGCCTGCACCCTGCTGGTTTGATTATGACACTGATAACATCAACTCAGTCTTTTCTCTTCTCCTGTGAGGCTGCTCCTTTTAGCACACGTGCACAGCAGCACGGCAAGATTAATTCTGCTCAGCCACAGTTGTGATCTATGCTCTTAGTCACGTGACGCATGGTATGTCCAGTGGTGACAACACGATAATACAGTAGACATGTATACTTTCCAAAAATCCTGTCATTGCTGATTTAGTCCTAATTTTCCAGTTTCAAACATTATCAATTTGGGCCAGCGTTCAGGTATCCAGAAGAGGAGGCTTAATGTGCTCTGATTTTTTTATTCTGAAAGGTTGGGAAGCATACTTTGGAGATATTAAAGGCTGTAAAGGTTTATCAATAAAAGACACCACTAATTTTTATTTTTCAGCATCCACAAATTCAGAAGGAATCACAATATATCAAGTATCTGTGCTGTGATGAACCGTGGGTTCTCCACCAGTGGGTTACTGGCATCAGGATTGCCAAGGTAAGCAAAAAGAACATCTTTCACTTGTAGGTGTACTAGGACACCCTACAAGATCTTCACTCAGTGTATGTATAGACAAAACTTTTTTTTCAGGTTTGGAGTGAGTAGTGAAAGTTTTAAACCCCTGCCAAGTTAATTTTTTAACTGTCTGTGTACTATTGGGGAAATGTTTTCTTTTCACTTTCTATCCCAGAGAGGCAACTAAAAGTGAGATGAAATTTCCCAAAGCAAAAGATATTGTTGTCCGCCGAACAGGTGTCCCCATGAGAAGAGTTCCACTCACCCCTTGTTCTAGGGACAACTCTAAAATTTTGGATTTCCTCCCACTTTCTTTCGCTGTGACAATGGTCACCAAAATAAATAGTGATAAATATTCTCAGCAGGGATATAGACTAAAACTTGACAAAGGGTCTAAAACACGGGTCAAACTGGCAGCCCTCCAGCTATTGTCAAACTACAAGTCCCATGAGGAATTGCAAGACTGACAGTTACTAGCATGATCCCAAAGGCAGAGGCATGATGGGACTTGTAGTTTTAAGACAGCTGTAGGGCCGCCAATTTGACACCCCTGCTTTCCCCAGTCTATCCAACATTTAAAAAAAATAAAATAAAATTTTGCCTGGAGATATGCTTTAAGCCTAAAGGACATAGTAGCGTTAATTTATAAAGGCAAATAGACTGTCTACTTTGCAGGTGTAGTTGCTTTATAAATGAGGAGGAGCTCTGCTGACTTCCATCATCCAATCATGTTCAAGCAAAAATGCTGTTTTTTTATTTACCTTTTATGTTATTGGGTATTCTTTGTAAAGTGAAGCTTTATCTTATTGATTGATTAAGCTCTGGAAAAAAATGCACAGTCTATTTGTCTTTGGTAAATCTACCCCGATTAGTACAGGCACACTATGTTGTTCACACTCTTGTATATACAGGTCTCCTTGTTTGCCTCTATGATCACTGTAACAGTCTTTCACTGATATAAAAAACCAAGAGGCAAAAAATGTTTTTGAAGGCACTCCTACTGAAGTCTATGGGACCAATAAAACTCATGTACTTTTTTGAGTCTAAGGCAACTGAGCTTACAAGCATGAACAGGGACAATTAGAAAGAATGGATTTCTGCATGTTGAGCATAGTCAGGAACTGGGGGCGTGATTTTGTGGATGTGGGGTAAAAGTGAGCGTGTTCAGTAGGGTGTCCCCAGATTTCATTTTGAAAATCTGAATACCTTATATAAATGATTTTATATGATGAATCTATCAATACTAAGAAGTAAAAAAAGAGATCTATGCAGTGATTGGGCCCTTCTTTCGGAAAGACAGCCTTCTTGCAGTTATGTGACTTATTTTTTGGACTTATACAGTCAAACAGAACAGACCTATTACAAAATCTGAACAAATAACAAAGTGCAGTACTATAAGCAACTGGTGTGACTTCAGTAATGTGAATTCTGATTGGTTGTTGTGGCTTGCTGTACTTTACACTTAGTGCTTTGCGTCTTGCTTTTTTTAAAGGATAAGTTCACCTTTTGTAACATTTTACATGTTACACCCAATATTCAGGGAGTAACATTAGACCGGTCCCTGATCCCAGCTTGGACAGGTATGACTGTCAAATTTTTAAAAAACACGGCTGAGCAAGGGCTTCACCTGCCTGGCCGCGTCACTCATTCATAGACAGCTTGTAGTCCTCAATGAGCTACCACAGCGCTGTGGAGCGCCATGGTAGTTCATTCATTCTTCCTGTCAGTATGTCTGCTTGCTCCTACATCCCATATGGGGAAAAACAGATATACTGACAGATCTGCAGGAAACCTACATGGCACCAGTGGTCTGCTGTTCACTGGTGCAATGCATTACAGGCTCCTGCAGACAAAAAAAGTAAGGGTACATTTTTTTACCTGCAAAAAATGTGCATTTATTATTTTTTACTAAAAGGTGAACTTATCCTTTAAGGTATGGAGCTCTTAGCTACGTTCAACCTACCATATGTCCATAGTACAATATTCACCTCTCTGGGTGCATCACCTTTTAATTTCCCCAGCTAAAATTTATGCCATGTAACCAGTTGCCAGTTCTGTCAGCAAATTAAAAAAAGCTTGTTTTTGTAAAAATTTTAATTAAAATCATACACAGATTACAAAGTTGTATGTCATAGGCAAGCTGACCAAGCTCTCCACAAGCTACACTAAAATTCAGATTATTGCAATTGGATCATCTAACTCGTATAATAGTAGAATGCCATAATGTCTTCTTGTTTGCTCTTACAGTATGGGAAGGCTTTGTATGACAACTACAAGTCTGCCATCCACAAAGCAGGTCTGGCCTCTCGGTGGTCTTCACTCAACAGTTCCTCGACACCAAGCACAACAGGTACAAGAATTCTCTCTCCCTCTTGTGCTACCAGCACTGTCAAGTTATATATATACACTGTATATATATATATATATATATATATATGGGTCGTTTAAGTCAAATCGGGAATTTTGAGTTTATATAATAAAAGAACAAATTCCAAGGAGTGGAATTTGCATTTATTTTTCAAAATATTCCCCTGCTACATTTGTACACTTATCCCAGCATTTAAAGGATCAGTTCACCTTTGGGAACATGTTACATGTTCCGCCCATATTTAGGGTGGAACATATAACATGTTCCCAATGCTGCAGCTGTGCACACCGCCCCCCTCCCTCTGACAGATAATACGGGGAGAAGTTTCCCCATACTATCTGTCAGATTTGAAAACAGCCACGTCGTTCATTCATGGACAGTGGCGGACTGACCATTTGGAAACTCGGGCACTGCCCGAGGGCCTGGGGTCAGTGGGGGGCCCCATGAGATGCCCCCTGGTACCTTTTTCATTGGCTTTTTTGAGTTTGGGCAAGGACACAGAGGCCCCATGATCCCCTATTGCCCGGGGGCCCCATGAGTTGTCAGTCCGCCCCTGTTCACGGACCCCTATGAATGAATGAACTGCAAGTCCCAACAGCCTTTGCGGCTGTTGGCTTGTAGTTTTCAATGAACTACCACAGCGCTGTGGAGCACTGTGGTAGTTTATTGAAGCTTCCTGTTAGAACATTTGCTTGCTTGTGCATTCCGCACGGCAAGCAGATATTCTGACAGGTCTGCAGGAGACCTGCATGGCATCAATGATCTACTGATCTCTGGTGCAATGCTTTCCAGGCTCCTGTAGACAAAAATAATAAATGCACATTTTTTGTACCTGCAAAAAAATGTGCATTTATTATTTTTGTCCAAAAGGTGAACTCATCCTTTAACTAATGCCTGTAAAGCTTCAGCATAGAAAGATTTGTCAGTACGCCTGAACTATCCTAGGACAGCCGGCTTCACTTCATCATCATTGTGTTCACCATTCCCACAGAAAGATTTGTCTCTTTACGTTATGCGTTGATTATCCAGGATCAGATGTTCTGTGCGCTGAATGTTCACAGGAATGACTGCTGTTAGCTGGGAACCATCATGACCAGGATCATTACTGATGGACGAAACATTTACACCATTCGAATTACTTACTGCGGCTGAGCGTCTCATCACTGTACTGTGCTTGAAGTCTTCTGTAGATATCAGCGGGTTTTACGCCTTCATGCACAAGAAACTTCATCACCACACTTTGTTCCATGCACACACTAACACTGTTGACTTGATTAATGGTCTCTGGACTGGCCTGCGGCATGTGCGCTGCCTATCAGTAATAGGACACATTAAATGTCCCAGTTTGACTTGAACACCCCTCCTATATATAAATATACGTATATATATATATATATATATATATATATATATATATATCAAGGGGGTAAAGTTCTTACAGCTGTTGAATATCTAGTGCAAATCAGAATGTGAAACCTAACGTGATTGTGCAGTGTCAATTTTAAAACCTGAACTCCAGGGAGATACAAAAGATATTTACTGTATGCAGTTCTGCATCCATTAATACATCAGATGTTTTTTTTTTAATGCTAAAAAGACATGCTCATAGGAGGAGAGAGCAGAGTGACCAGAAAAAACCTCAACAGTCTGCTGCTTCTCCTGTCACTGTCAGGTAACAGGTTAGGGGATGGACAAGACCTGTAAGTGTTACTTTACTTTAGCAGAGAAAAATCTGGTCTCCTACTCTGCCATGGGCTGTGCTGTTTCAGGGCTGTTTAACTTTCAGTACTGGGTAGCCAAATGCATGAATCCTTTGGAAGGTAAAACAGCTCCCTTATCTGTATTTCATCTATGTATTTAGCTGTTTTCCTGGGTTCCAGACTTAACTTTCCCCCAGGTTTTGAATATTACAACAGCAGAACCAAGAGGTTACCTTGTGGAAGAGTTCCTTTGGACTGGATAGGTCTTTAATCAGCACCTCAGGTCATAACTGTAATCAACACCAAAATCTTCCACACTGTTCCACCTACCTTATACAAAGTGCACAGAGCTTACCTAATATATGAGGGAGGTCTTGCTTGACACATGAGGAAAAGCTAAATACAATTCTGCAAAAAATAGCTTTAAAAAGGTAATATCATAATTAAAATAGTCATTATCCTCTTCTGTTACAGCATCTTGTTGTCTCAAAACTGCAGGTTCTCGCAAACATTTTTAGCAAACCTTTTTTCTCAAATTTGAAAAAAAAAAATGTGCCTATAAGTGCAACCTTTACGCAATGGAAGTATCTTTTTTCTGGGCAAATTCAATATTCAGCCTATAAACCACAAGGAACCAGTAATAGCAGTTGACATGCCACTGGTTTTCTGATTTTTTTAAAATAAAGGATTCATATACAGCATGGCTCCCAGGACAGTTCTTAAATGCCAACCTTTAATTATGTTGTACCATTTTTTATGTAATTATGCATGTAAAAATTTTAATTTGATATTTTTCTTATAGGGGCATCTCAAGGGAATGGACAGATATCTCAAAACATAACCAATGTTAGTTCAAGCTTCTCAGATGCCTGGAAGCGTAGTGAGACAGCTAAGGTATGTCACAATAAGCTATTCTTTACATAAAGTGGGTTCTTCTTGCTCTATTGGCTTATCTAGCACCTCCCTTATTCCCTTGATAGTCAAGAGATAGCAAATTCCAAAGCCTGCCGAAGAGACCTCCTCCTGCATGTTTCTTTTACATAGCAGAGGTCTGAAACTTGAGTTTACATCTCTTGGATTATGGTAGCCCCGAGACCTGCCTTTCACTGGAAATCTGGCAATTTCTGAAAACATAGAAATGTATTTGTCTTTGCTAGTGACTGGTCTGTGAAATGTCATAGACCTATCATTTTAACAATATGAGTGATTTTTTAGATCATTAAAACATCCTCTGCTGGAAGGATATAACAACCTGGGTGGGGCAGAGCCTGGGGGGCTTCTAAATATGCAAATAACAAATAGATCCCTGGTATACGTTATTCTATATTTCCTTAAGTGTTTATTTAGGGAACAAGTGGGTACTGTGTCACTTTTCTATTGTACAGAAGTATTTAATTCACAACACTCCTGTTAATAATATACAGTACAAGCAAGTTACAATTTTGTTTTGTCAGCATAGTTTTGTTTTTACTAGTGGGTGATTCTGCCACAAGTAGCAACTTCTTCTTCTCCTTCCTGTATGTCTGACCTGTTGGTGCCTTCACATCCCACACCTTTTCTCATCTATTGTCTAATCCCATGCTATTTTGTGTTCACTCTCCTCAATCCCATCCACCAGGTTTACAAGCCCTTCCTCGTCTTCCAAGACCCTGCACACCAATCCCAGCACCAGTGCTCCCAGGCTCCCTGCACATCCCACCAACATGCCCCTATGGTCCCGAGCCAGCTCCAGAGAGTTGCAGGCACTGGTCAGCATGCCCATTCTCAGCACAGCTCACCACATTGCAACACTCCCTTCCCACACAAAAACCCCTTCTCAGCTGCCCTGAACACCTCCTCTGGGTATCCTATGTTTCTGGCTCCACCTCAAACACCTGCTCTTAATGCTCCTGGCTACTCCTCACATATCAGACTTCATCACATCCCCCTGACCCAATCCCCATTCTTTATCACACACACACACATACACACCATAACTCCCATACAGTATTGCTGCCTCTACACCACCTATCCCTGCTTTTAGATAACAACAGACACAATCATTGCTATCACCATTCTGTACTCCTTGTCATCACCACTGCAAAGCACTACCTTCACAACCTTCCAGTCACTGCTAGGAATAAGTGTCAAATTTTGTAAAACTTGATTTAACAGCAAAATTGCTGATTATATGTTCCACACAATTTTGACAAACTTTCACTCTTATTTTTTCTTTGTACCCTCTGCACTTATCTCTTGCACATAATGCCTGCTGTCATACTCCATTACTCCTTTCCTGCATATACCAATTGCCAATGTACTCTTTGCACTATGCTCCTTCAAAAAATGCCCACTGTCATACCCTCTGCATTTCACTCCTTCACATATTTGCTGCTGCCATGTCCTCCTCACTGCTCTCCTGTACATACTGATCATTGTCATACCCTTCACATTCCTCTCCTGCACATACTTCCACCATCATATCTTCCACACTCCTCTCCTACACATACTGCCTGCCATCATACCCTCAGCACTCCCCTCCTTTACATGTTTCCTTCAGTGATACCCTGTGCATTCCTCTCCTGCACATACTGGCCACCATCATTACTCTCTGCTCTGCCCCTCTAGTGCTCTCTGGAACGCTAGGCAGGAGAGGGGTTGGGAATGGCCAACTCAGGCTCTCAGCAGCGCACTATGAGGCTGAGCCAACTGCTGATCAGGTATCTGGGTGGATCCCGAAATTATTTGGGATGCTTCCAGAGCCTGAAACAGCTCTGTGATGTCAGCCAACAGCAGACTTTAGCCCTCTGTTGGCTAATTCTGGGTCACAGGACAGCACAAGAAAGTGCACTCCTTTGACAAAGAAGAGAAGTATGGCCATAAAAGTCTTGACTATACATTTTTTTAACTGATTAAACTGAACATTCAGTGGGACTTTAAACATGAAAAAGTTACAGTTTGAGATAACATTCATCTGACCTCCATGCGAATGACCTTCATATGTTTAGGGGTGCAGCAAAACACAACACATTAAGGCTACGTTCACACTAGCCTTGTTTGCAGGCGGCAGAGAGGCGTTTGGGAAGCGTTTTTACCGCTTCCCAAACGCCTCTGCCAATTCTGCACATTACAGCACATGGTGCTGTTCTAACGGGAGCGTTTGCGTCGCGTCGCGTTGCGTCGCGGCAAAACGGACGCCTCTGGACGAGTCAGGAGGCTTTGAAGCCTCCTATTCTCGTCTATGGTGCCGCTCCGCAAACGCCCGGCCGGCGTTTGCGGTGCGGTTGCGACGCGGTTGCGGGGCGTTTGCGGAGCGGTTACACCATCAAACTGCATTATAGGCATTTGTGGGGCGTTATTAACGCTCGGCAAACGCCTAGCAACCTCCGCTAAACCGCGCATGCGGCGTTTGCGGAGCGTTTGCCGAGCGTTAAAAAACGCTCCGCAAACGCCGGACCAACGCTTGCCAAACGCTATAGGGGCGTTTGGCAAGCGTTGGCAAAACAGCCTAGTGTGAACGAGCCCTAAGAGAGAAGTTCAGGAATACAAAAAACAAACAGTCATACTCACCTAGGTGGATGCAGCATTGGCCCAAGGCTGCATATGTACCCCACAGCCTCTAAGACCAAGAACTGAGTGATCCAGCACTGCTGATTGCTCAGTTCTTGGTCTTCAATGAGCAGAGAGCCAGTGACTGTCGGTCATCAGCTCTCTGCTTTGTGCCTTCAGCACTCACTGGATCACCAGGCTGGGGAGGGGGCGGGAACAGATGACTCAGGCTCTCAGTGGCCTGCTGAGCCAGCTGCCGATCCTGCTTCTGCTCAGAACCCAACATTTTCAGGATCTTTCCAACAGCCTGGACAGGCTCTGTTATGTCAGCCAACAGCGGCTTTAACCCGCTGTTGGCTGAAAATGGGTCACATGACTGCAGAACTAAGTGCACTCCTGAAGTGAGTGCTGAAAGCACAAAGCAGAGAGCTGATGACCGACAATCACTGGCTCTCTGCTCACTGAAGACCAAGAACTGAGCAATCAGTAGTGCTGGATCACTCAATTCTTGGTCTTAGAGGCTGTGGGGTACATTTTGATCATACTTCTCATTTAAAACATAACTAAAAACAAAAAGAATGGCAGTGAAATAAAATCTCTAATTTTGGGTTGTCACCAGTACAGGAAAAGAGGAAAATTCTTCTAACCAAGACACTAGTTCTGGTGACAACAATGGATTTGCTCTCAATTTCTGTTTTGCCTATGGGACAGGAAGTAAAGGGAAATTTCCCCAATGGGCACAGATGGCAAAAGAAAAAACTGACGGGTTATAACCCTTCCATACTCTATCCAAAATGAAAAAAAAAGTTTTTTAGCCTTTAGTTTTATACATTAATAAAGCAACCTGTATGCTTATACAGAAAGTTTAATTATAACAAACAAGCTGCCAGTCGTCATGATAAATTACAAGACCCAAGAAAAATACCTGGCAGGAATATAGAGAGATCAATTCAAACCCTGCATTGAGAACATTTTGAGAAGAAAGTGGCAAAATTTCATTCTTTGGAGGGGTGGAAAGCAATTAACGGTCTTTTATAATGGTGTGTTATGATAGATGGTTATGTTGCTCTGAAGATGGATTCCCATTATTTAAAAAAAAAACAGCTTCTATGTTATGCCAGCTAATTCATCATTCAGTTATGTTGCATTTTAGGGGCTTTCCAGGTTGAAGAGGAATTTGACCCATGTGTAATCACCAAAGATGGCAACCTAGTCCCAGTGTTATTTGTATTGCTATGTTGATTGAAAAGACCACTCTCATTAAAAAAATGCCGCACAGAAACATCCAGTGGCCGAACTGCAGGAACGACCCCTCTGAAGCGCTTCCCGTGAAAAAATACTTTGTATTGACAACTGTATATAGTTAATACATGTACTAATGGCATTAAAGCTGATCTCCAGGATTAAAACAAAAATACCCTTGCTGTGGGGCCCCTCAATTCTGCAAAGTTAAATGCTTGTTAAATCTAGGGGTAGAGGGAAAGTCTGGAATACCCTATTGTTCACTTCCCTGACCACCGGTGCTCTTCTCTTGCTTCCAGTGCTTTTTAGTTTCTTCTGTAGTAAAGGAGCTCTGGGTCTTTGCACTTGTGCATGGTTGTCACCAGAAACGTCAAGGTGAACTGGAATATAAATGGGAATTAAGGCTGGAAGACTTCATTGTTGGAGTATTCTAGAAATATATCAATCCAGAGGCTGACTCAGCCTACCAGGTTTCACCTAAAATGTCAATTAAAAGTTGACTGGCACTGAAAGTTCCACTGTTCTGCCTGAGCAGGCACCTCCAGATCTGTTCGGAGTCAGTCTTGAGCACCCAAAAAAAAAAAAAAAATCAAAGGAGCTCACATTATGCAACTTTTGCCCTGAGTATACAGGCTTCCACTGTACTAAATAGGGTAACCGAACAGATATGTAGCCACCTGGAGATGTGTTTCTTACCAAAGTAGCTTTATCAGCTCTAATCTTACTTTAGAGTTTGGGTCTAACTAACCACAAATATATAGTAGCCCTCACAGAGTCCAAGTATATCCACTTGGTGACTGCTCTCAGTAATGTTACTGCAGGCAGGCGGCTCATACAAGCACCGTCACGTACCTGTACATTGGCACCTAATTCAAGGATCAGGGCACACGCGCGTGGATCTGGAGATGCCAACCATTCCCCACGACCAACCCCGAGAGCCCCCATAACAGAGCACTTTGATTGGCTATGTTATACCACACCCCCACCACCCTTGCTGACTGGACACAGCAGGATTTTGCCTGTAGGTTTCAGGCAATAATGCATGACTGAGATCTGCTGATCGGCTGTGTCCAATCACATACCAGAGCCCTGTGTTGACAAACACACAGGGCTCTGTAAAAAGGGAACGATCTGCGTGTTTCTTCTCTCTGCAAAGCAGGGAGAAGGAACAGATTTTTCGTAAAAAGCAGCACATACACATTAACACTTGTTAGGCACAAAGTTAGCCCCTTGATTATCCCTTTTCCAGCCAGTGTCATTAGTACAGTGACAGTGTATAGCATTACTGATCACTGTACTAGTGTCGCTGGTGATGTCAGTGTCAGTTAGTCTACCTCCCACCCAGTGTCAGTTAGTGTCAGATTGCCTTCTACACTATCACAGCCCCACTATAAGTCGCTGATCACCGCCATTGCTAGTACAAAAAAAATAGACAAATAAAAATTCCAGTGTGTATTGTATTGTATGTAGTTTGTAGACGCTATAACTTTCACACAAACCGATCAATATACACTAATTGGGATTTTCTTTTACCAAAGACATGTAGCAGAATACATTTTAATCTAAATTTATGAAGAAATTTGATGGTTTATAACAGAAAGTAAAAAATATATATTTTTTTAACTTTTCATTATTTTATATTTATATAATCTTCTTCCATCCTTTGCTCCCTCACTCACATCTTCAATATTTCACTCTCTACTGGTGCCTTCCCCTCCCCTCTAAAGCATGCGCACATCACTCCCATACTTAAAAGCCCTCCCTGGACCCCACCAACCTGAACAACTTAAGACCCATCTCCCTGCTGCCATTTACCTCTAAACTCCTAGAACGCTTAGTCTGCAATCACCTGAGCTACAATCGGCAGTGCCCGAGTGACCAAATGGTCAGTCCACCCCTGCTCCGTACTCTTACTACTTGACCTCTCTGCAGCTTTTGATACGGTTGTCCATCCCCTGCTCCTCAAATAACTGCACTCTCTTGGCCTCACTACACTCCACTGAAACTGCCCAACTAAAACTCACTAATGATCTACTAATGATCTCTGCTCTCTCCTGGTTCTCCTCCTACCTATTGCAGTGCTCCTTCAGTGTTACCTATAACGCTGCCTCCTCCTCTTCACTCCCTCTTTCTGTAGGGGTCCCTCAAGGTTCTGTCCTTGAGCCCCTACTCTTCTCCATCTACACTTCCTCCCTTGGTCACTTGATAAACTTCCATGGCTTTAAGTACCATCTTTATGCTGATGACACACAAATCTATCTTTCTACGTCTCACCTCACCCCTTCAGTCTCCTCTCGCATCACTAACCTACTAAGTGACATATCGGCATGGATGTCACTCCACTTCCTCAAACTCAATATTTCCAAAACTGAGCTCTTAGTATTCCCCCCAGCACGTGCCCCCTCCCCTGACTTCTCCATCAAGATCAATAACACAATCATCAGTCCCTCCCCTCATGCCAGGGTACTAGGTGTAACCGTAGACTCCCATCTGTCCTTTCAGCCCCAAATCCAATTACTGTCCAAATCTTGTAGACTTCACCTCCACAACATCTCCAAGATACGCCCGTTCCTAATCTCGGAAACCACTAAGCGACTTATCCACTCCCTTGTTATATCTCGCCTTGACTATTGTAAATCCCTCCTCATTGGCCTACCTCATTGAAGGCTATCCTCTCTTCAGTCTATCATGAATGCTGCTGCCAGAATCATCCACCTTACTAACCATTCTGTATCTGCCACCCCTCTCTGCCAATCCTTCCACTGGCTTCCCATTGCCCAACAGATAAAATTCAAAACACTAACAATAACGTATAAAGTCATTTATAACTCTGCCCTCTGCCCCAAATTACATCACGATCTTGTCTCTAAATATTACCCAAACCGTACTCACCGCTCCTCGCAAGATCTCCTACTCTCTAGCTCCCTTGTCTCCTCCTCCCATGATCGTCTCCAGGACTTCTCCAGAGCTTCCCCATCCTCTGGAACTCTCTGCCCCAATTTATCAGACTATCGCCTACTCTGCTCACTTTTAGGCAATCTCTGAAAACCTATCTCTTCAGGGAAGCCTATCCTGCCCTCAGCTAATAATGGAATCTTCTACTCTTCCAACCAATCCATCCCCCACAGTTACTACCTTTTGTACCACTAGCCCCTCCCTCCTAGATTGTAAGCTCCTCCTTTCCCTCTTGTATTGAACTGTATTGCTGCTGTATTGTCTCCCGTTATATTGTAAAGTGCTGAGCAAACTGTTGGCGCTATATAAATCCTGCATAATAATAATAATAATAAAGAAAACTCAATGGTGATCAAATACCACCAAAAAAAATCTCTATTTGTGTGAAAAAAAGGGCATAAATTAATTTAGGTGCAGCATTGCATGACTGCACAATTACCAATTAAAGTAGCGTTTGCTCTGAATAGCAAAAAATCCCTGTCACGAAGAATATTCAATTAATCAGGCTGCAGTATCAGTCTGAAAATGCAGGTGGCACTGCAATTAGAATCTGGTGTTACTCCTCCTAGCCCCATTTAAACCCTAAGATGTGCAGAGGGAAGGACCCCAAGCAGACTTGTATTTGTCAGCTTTTCATTTTTGGAAGTCTGTTGAAGGGTACATATCATTTTGGGTATGTATAATAGGCTGGTCTCTGACAACTTCCTTTATGAAATTGTTAGATTCCAGACCACATCCTAGCCATTATATATAATTCAGTTTTGTTCAGCAATAAATCCTGATAAAAAAGGATCTCAGATCCTTAATGTGTGACAAAAGTAACCTAGTTTTCCTATAGTCTTGCTTATATCCCTAATTGTCAGATATTCATTGAACAGCACCTGTGTTTTATTAACCATTGTACTTTATATTAAGTTAATGGCATATTTTTTCTCTGTTTAGGATAAGCAGCAACCCACTGAGATTAGGAAACCTGAGCCAAAAATCTCTCTTCCAACATTAACCAAGCAGCCTCCACCTGCGCCTGTACGGGTATCATCCAATGTACCTGTGGCTGCCACACCACCATTACCATTAAAATCCAAGCCAGCAATCAGCAATATACCACCACCACCGCCACCAGCAGAAGCTTTCCAGTGGGGGGATGATTTCCTGCCTCCTCCTCCTCCTGAATTACTGGATACTCCTCCTGATTTTTTACCTCCACCACCTCCATCTTTTAACTCTGGAATTGATTACCCTGCTCCCCCACAATTCACAACTGCAGTAAGTGCTGGAGGGCCACCACCTCCTCCCCCTCCCCCTCCCCCTCCTCCACCACCCGCTGCTCCATCACCCGCATCAGCTCCACCAAAGGTTCCTGTGAAAAAGCAGCCACCAAATCCTCCAAAGAGAAGAGACAGTACAGGACAGAGATCAAACCAACAAAACAGCTTGATGGCAAATGGCGGTGGTGCAGGGGGCCAACCAGATTTTATGTCCGACTTGATGAGTGCATTGCAGAAAAAGAGAGGCACCACAACCTAAATTCAACTTCACACTTCCTACAGGACTTTATTAAATATTCTATCATATTTACAAAATCTTTTGGATCAAAGAGGACATGTTCTGGCTGAGAGACATTTAAAGGGAATTTAAAGCCTTAGAAACATAGAAGAGTGACAGCAGAAAAACAAAAAAAAAGTAGTCCATGTTTTTCAGATGTACAGTACATGAGAAAGCAATCATCCCACTTGTGTGGGTTGAGAAGACTTGCAAAATTGCATGCACTCCCAACCCACAGGCAAAATGCACTGCCTGAGGGATGGACACCCTGGGATGCCATTAATTCCTCATGGCACTGCCATACATTGGCAAAACCTCCACATTTTCAAATGTAATAAACCAAGTGGTACTGTAGCAGCATGTAATTCCTTTGCAGCTTAATTTTAAAATAAAGGGTCCAGGACCTTTACCTGCAAATGAATGGGCTGCCCTACTCACAGAATTAGGTGCGCACTGATGTGAACAGAACCTCATTTATATAAGCTTGTCCATTGTTGGTAATATTTTACACACATTGTTTCTATGTATAGTTTGTAATTATACCTTTGCATGGTGGCAGTTATATTTTCTCATTACATATACAGGTCTTAGGTGGGTGCACAGTGAGTGTGACTTTCTGCTATTTTTATTCAGTTCAAGTCTTATAGTCTGCAGACTTTTTGAAAAAATACATTCTCTATAACTTTACATGACAGTTGTAGGTCAAGAATGTTTGGTTCTGGGGTAAAATATTGATAGTCATTAGAAGTAAAAATCTACAAATCTGTACAGCAATGGAAACACAGTATAGTGGGATGTAAAATTGTAAAATCACATTAAAAGGTACTTTTTAGCATGAGTTCACATATATGCGGTGTGGTATATCGCATGTGATTCACACAGGAACCGTACCGCATTCCTGTGCAAATCACATGCGATTTGTGTGCGGTGCAGTTGGAGCCATACATTTTGTATGGCTCCAATTGCATGGGACCCGCACCAAAAATGTGCAGGACCCTTTTTTGGGTCCGAACTAGAATCGGATCGCATGGGTATTCACACCTATGCGGTCCTATTCTGCACATTGCACCACGTTTTGAGGACCGCTTATGAAGAGTTGTTAACTTAACATACACACCCGCAGCAGTTCGGATGAACAGGGTGCGATTCTAATGCGGTGTGGAATTTGAACAGAAAATGCTGCGAATTCCACACACCATCAGTGGGAACCAGGGCTTAAGGTAAAGATTACAAAATAACTGAAAATGTGTGCTGTGTGAAAACTATAAGTTTCTCTTAAAAACTATAAGTTTCTCTTAGAATAATGAATGACGTCTGCATCTTGGAATTTAGTATATACCAAAAAATCTAGTGTAATCTGTAAAAAAACAAACAAACAATGTTTAAAGATGAATAAACATTATACAAAGAGATAACCAACATGAATACAATATTGCAGTCAATGAATACAAAGTAATAAATATTTCCCAATGAATCAATGTGTTCTGTCTTGTTTCTTTTGAAATGACCATCTGTGAAAGACACTTTAAAGCAGAAATTCGGGAAAAAATGTACCCTGTGCAGTGAGGCTGTGCCAGCACTGCCCCGGTCCAATGCTTGTTTTGTTCTAGGGGAGAGAACACCGAAGATATACTCACCTGACTCGCCGATCCTTCCTGCACAAGACTGGTCCTTTCGGCTTCATCTGTCCCCCACCACCTCTACACTGAAAACAGCAATCAAAGACTGCAGTGAGCAGAGAGCCAGTGACTGTCAGTCACTGGCTCTCTGCTCTACTCCTCCAGCACCATCTGCCTGTGGGGGGGGGGGGGGGGGCAGGAGTTGCTGGCTCAGGCTCTCAGAAGCTCACTGAGAGTCAGCTGCAAGTCCAGGCATGACGACAGCTGACTTAGCCCACTGACGGCTGAAAATGGGTCACGGGAGAGCAGAATAAAATGCACTCCTGTGACTTACAGGAGAAATAGGGCCAAAAGAGTTTTGGCCCTACTTCTCCTTTAAACTCTCTGGTGATAAAAGGAGAAAGTAAAGGAATCCTAAAATAGAAAGGCTTCATATTTAGTTTCTTTGGCTAGCCATATCCCCTTAATGTATTATTTACCTAAAGTTCATAGAAATGATCCATTTATGCCAAGAAGACTTACTATAAGTAGGATTGATTCCCTAACAGCTAGACCTTGGGAATATGTTGATTTGTTTTTACAACCATTTGTTATATCCACTCGGTTTTACTTGAGAGGTACACAGCATTTATCATAACTTTTACAGGGGATAGCTTTGGAGGAGAACTGTATTCTTGTTACAACAGATGTATCCACTATGTACACTGTTATCCAAAATAAGCAAGGCTTGGAAGGAGTAAGGTTAGCTTTGGAAAAAGATAAAGACAAGCCTCAGATACACTAATATGTTATTCTAGAGTACATTTTGTTTTGCTTAGGATCCATTTTATTTGTTTGAAGGGAATTTTAACACAAAAAGTGGGGCAGCTATGGGAGCCAAGTATTCATCTAACTTTGCAAATTTGTACATTGACAAATGGAAAAAATGTATATAGTAAACAATGGCCACAAATACTTTTTTAAATAAACATTTTATAGATGGAAGATAAATTTACATGGGTGCTGAAAAATTCCTGATTGTCTTGCTAGAGGAAGAAATCGATAATATGGTACGGGTCCGTCCAATGTGAAAGAGCCCTTATACTGTTGCAACCCACAACAAAATTGAGTTTGATATCCCTCATCTAGATGGTTGTTCAATATATCTTGAGGACAATTTGTGTACATAAAGATGAATTGTGTGCTGCAAGACAATTATTTACATCAATAGCTGTTAATAGACTAGTATATAGCAAGAGTATAAAAAGGGAAGATTTGGAAAAATAAATCCAAAGAGCAGGTACAATGGATAGGAATTAATATAGAATAAAAACAAAAAAGGATAATGAAGTAGAAGAAAACACTGAAGTGTTTCATTAGGTGATAAGCCATTAGGATCCTACTCCTCACATATACGAAGACACTAACATAAAAAAATAAACTTGCACATAATGTTATTAACTCATCAAGTAATGAAAGAAAATTTACTTTCCTACACCAAGGCTTTTTTGGGTGTAGGGGATGTGCGGTGTACATACACAGTAAATGTATGAAACAATACAGAGAATATTTTAGATCAAATACTAATAAAAAAGAATATCATTATAACAATGTATATCCTGAGACACAAGGGGTGTAATAAAAAAGGGGTTTTAAACTACTTATTTTTTTAAAATATCCCAACAAAGACCTGGGAGAATTGGAGTTCTTAGGTACAGAAAAAAAAACTACAATAAACTTGAGGGGAGGCATAAGCTTTTAATGCTGGCCCTGAAATGCCAGGATAGTAGAAGCACCCCACCAAATTACCCCTTTTTGGAAAGTAGACACTCCAAGGTATTTGCTAAGAGGCATGGTGAGTATTTTTCAGATCCCATTTGTTGCCACAAGTTTTTGGAAAATGAAGAAAGAAAACAAAATGTAGTTTTTCCTTTTTTTTTTTCTTTTTCAAAACTTTGTGACAAAAAATGATATCTGCAAAATACTCACCATGCATCTTATCAAATTTCTTTGGGGTGTCTACTTTCCAAAAAGGGGTCATTTAGGGGGCGGGGGGTTATGCTATCCTGGCATTTTAGGGCTTCCGAAACTGTGATAGGTAGTGAGAAAGTGATATGAGGAAATATGCCCTTTGAAAGCCTCAATGTGGTCAATAGATTTCTGGGGCCTGTATGTGGCTAGGCTTCCAAAAAGTCTCTCACATGTGGTATCCTGATACTTGGGAGAAATAGCGGAATGTGTTTTGGGGTGTAATTCTACATATACCCATGGCATGTGTGAGCAATATATCATTTAAGTGACAACGTTATGTTAAAAAAGTAAAAAGGAGGGCGCAAGCGCGAAGCCTAGCAGGGCAGACATGCTTGCTTAGAGCTCCACAACTCCAGACGACATACAGCCAAATAGCAGCATTTAAAGGCCTGGACATGGGCGGTCACCGGCATAAGCTCTGTCTTTTTAAAGATGACATCCTAATCTTTATTACAACCCCCTGATTTCCACAACCAATTTGCTGGACATGCTATCTCGCTTTGGCAAAGTATCTGGTTTGGTGGTTAATCCACAAAATCATCAGCTCTCAATATATCCCTTACCGCCTTCTTTATTAACTCAATTACAAGGCAACCCTCCCTTTCCCCTGGGCCAATACATTTATATCTTATTTGGGCGTCAAACTCACCACAAACCCCTCGGACTTATACGCAACAAACTATCCCCCCATGTTATCTCATCTTACAAACCTAATGTCGAAATGGTCATCCTTACCCTTGGCCTGGCTGGGCAGAGTGATGGTGCTCAAGATGACTGTCCTTCCTAAAATTCTCTATCTTTTTAGAATCCTACCCATACAAGTTCCATCTCATTTCATATGCATTCTGCAATGCAGGGCTTTCCATTTTGTTTGGGGTAAAATTAAACCACGCCTTTCCAAACCCACTATATATACCCCCAAATCTAGAGGAGGACTCAGCATGCCCAACTTTTTGAAATACTATTATGCTGCACAACTATCACAGCTTCCTAAATATCACGCCACTAAGGAAACTCCAGTATGGGTTGCCCTGGAATCGGTGGATTGCGACCCCCTATCTACAGAGAACCTTTTATGGTTAGATCCATTATTCCATAAACATGCTGTGAACCCAGATACCAAACAAAGCCTTGCCGTTTGGGATAGCCTTAAACATCGCTATGGCCTCCAATCCTCTCATAATCCACTACTTTCTTTTCTTCATAACCCATCCTTATACCCAGCCTGGTCTTCACTCGCCTTCTTTCCAGTGTGGTCCACGGCAGGACTCCTCCGGACCCACTTCCTCTTCACTGCCAATCCTTTCAAACCATTCCCAATTCTTTGCAAAACCCACAGCCTTCCGTCGACAG